AAAAAAAAAAAGAAAAACATTAGGAAATAAGAAATGGAAAATTATTTGTTGATGATAACATGTATGCTGATGTGCTTGATTGAACCAATATACAGTGTAATCTGGATGGAAAATCTCATTTTGCATGTTGTAATGATATACAGTGAATGAATGTAAATAAATAAATTTAAATTAAAAAAAAAGGGATGGGATTATGATTTCTATATAATGTTTAATTTGTTCATTCCAAGAAAAACACTGTAAATTATCTAAAAACACAGACCAAGAAAAACAATTAAACAAACCCCCCCCACACACACACACAGACCAAGGATTTGAGGCCACTTTTAGGCACCTAGGTACTCGCTATGTGGGAGTCTTGAAAGCCAGATTCTGCTCAGGGACTAGAAGGAGCTGCTGGTGTGAGGATCGGAGCCTGCCTGGGGCGGGGTAAAGAGGCAGAAGGAGCAGGATAGTCTGCCCTGTGACAAAAGGGTAAGTTGCAACTTGGCCTGTTTAATTTCTCTATCAGACTCATTGTTAAAAATTCCTACTTTAGGGGACCAGCAGGTGCCATGGTGGTTAAGGTGCTGGACACTCCCACATGGCCGACCACGGATCTAGTCCCGGACCTGGCGGCTTCCTTTCTCCCTTTCCCCCTCTCTCTCTCACTCTGTGTCTCTCTCTGGTCAAATTGAAATAAATGAATGAGTAAATAAAATTAAATAAATAATAATTTTTTTTTTAAATTCCTACTTTAGTAGTTATCAGCGCTTTGCTTAGTATACACGTTTAAACTTACTAATTTACAATTACTTTTTATTTTCTTCCATGAGCAAGAGAGACAACACCCTCAACAAGGTCTTGTCCCCAGTGTCCATCTCCAGGCTCAACTGGTCCCAGATCATGGGCATATACAGGCCTGGTGTACTCATGGAAGTCTCCAGAGAGGAAAGCGAACCTTCCCGTGTTGGGTCAGCCTCACAGAGTGTCTTATTTTGCCACTGAGCCACCATCCAACCCCAAAGAAGGCATTTTTAAGACTAATAGGACAATAAATGGCTACAAGTTATGTGAGTCTCAGAACAATGGCAGGGATTGTAGTGCCATCTGGTGGCAATAATAGGTAGATACATTGTGTTCAACAGATTGTTTACGCACTTATGCCTAATGCTGTGGAAAGCACAAAACAGGGAAGCTTGGCCCCAAGCTCTTGTGCCTAACACTGTGGAAAGCACAAAATAAAGGAGAGCTTGGCCTGGAGTCTCTTCCAGGTCTTAGGCGATGAGACACAAGCACATGCGTTAGGCAGCTGCGCAAAATACTGATGTGGGAGTTCAGAGAAAAGAGGTGACAGTGCAGTCAGAGGTTGCCGGGAGATTCCTGGAAGAGGCAGCCCTCTGGACGGTTCTGAAGAAGGCTCGGATTTGGCCAGGCAGAAAGGGAACACAAAAGCCACTCATGTTTATGTCCCTGAACCTGCAAATATAAAGTTGCAGACTAGACCGAAACCAGCTCGCTGATTTATTCAGCTACGTTTACTGAGGGACAACCCCAGATTCTCTGATCGGGAAGATAAGCGATATCCCACTTCCCTCTCCCTCTCCCTCTCCGCAAGACGGAACAGCCGAGATGATGGAGTTAGATGTTAACAGGAGAGCTGAGCTAGTCCATATTTAAACAAAATGCCTTTTTTAGTCGAGAGCTCACCAACACTGTTGGTAGAGACAAAACTGACACCTGACAATTATTATTAATTTTTTAAGGTTTTTGCCATAGGGCACGTTGTTCAGGAGAGGAAGACAGAGGGAAAGTGAGAAATCACCCCCTGGGGGGATGGCCATGCCACAATCCATTTTCCTCCATTCTCCTCTAGCGATTTTGAGCAGGCACACACACACCATCCAGCATGATTCTCAAGCCATGAGTCTCAGGCTGCTGGAACTCGAACCATGGTTGGCCATGTGCAAATCCAGCACCTTAACTCCACACCGTGATC